CCTGAAAGCCTCACTGGTAACTTGTCACAGGTGTCCAAGTAATGGCATTCTAAATTTAAAAAGATGGCAGAGGACAGGGAAGACCCACAATGAACAATCCAACAGAAATCCAACTCCAGTGTAAGGAAACCAGCTCTCCCCACCCATAAACACCCTGGTCACTGTGTACAAACAGCATTATACCACAGTGGCAATGCCATCCATAGTCCTTAAAGAAGCCTAAGTCTATTGTATCAGAGTCCTATACATGAAAAGGGTTCAGTAAATATTTTGTAGCTACATTGAGGGTGGTGAGCTCACATGTCTTCAGGATTCACATAATGTAGATGAGAGAAGCAGCTCAGGAATGAATGTGGCAAACATGAACAGCTACTACTCAGCTTCAGTCAGCTGATTATTGGCATGCAAGAATGCTGGGATTGTCTAATTATTTGGAAAACAGAAATCCAGATTTATATGCAATCTCTCAACTTCTAAAACATGAAGTCTCAACATTTTGAAACTTCCATGCATCTCAAATATAATGTTTCTGTGAGCCAGGTAAGTCCCAACTCTCTGAGAAACACTCCACTGCACACACTCGCACATGCTGCATGCAGTTGGAACTCTGTCCCATGCTTCCAGGTGGGAACTGGTTCCACTCCACAGTCTCCTGCCTGCTCAAGGGCCTGGGGCCTTTGGGTAAGGTACAGGATGGTTTGGGACCTTCTGAGGAACTTTTTCAGAAAACTCTTTCTCCTTCCATTCAGCTGCCTCCCTTCCTGAGTAGCACTTCTTGCTCTCCACAGTGATCAATAGCAACCATTTCAGAAGCAGATCCTGGGTGGAGATACTTAAGACACATTCTTACCTAGAGCTTATCCTAAACCACAGGATCATCACAGTCACTGACCTTAGTCCCCATCCAGAAAATGAGACCCAAGTTCACCCCAGCATCCCTAGAAGCAGTCAAGATTCCTTCCTTCAGACATCCTCAAATGACCAAGATCTGACAAGGTGTCCCAGTTCTCCCCAAGCTTAGTCCCCATAAAGCCCTAGGCAAACACGCCTGGGATCCTCAATGATATATAATGAGGAAGGCCACCACCCTCACCTCCGATACAGTACTAGAAATATTGTATACAATCAATACCTCTCTAATAGTCTCTCTACTCTTTTAAAAAGTGACTTCTATGAAGACTTATAACCAGAATCCCTGCCCCCACTTACTAAGCCTAATAATAAACATTTCCTTAGTACTTAATCTACATGAGGGATTTGAGGATGGCCCAAGGAAAACTTTGGATATGCTGCATCTTAATGAATTTTTCCTATTGTTTAGAATGATTATTGCTTGTGTATCAGAGCCTGGGTATTTTTGCAAAAAAACTCTCTATGTCTTTGCTTTATTGATTTTTCTGGTGAGAACTTGAACCCAAGTAATGCAAGGTAGCAGATCCTGTGTTTTGGAGTTCCGTGTTACGCAATTGCGTTACATGGTATCTCACCAAGTTGATTCCATTTGACCGCAGGTTAAGTTAAAGCAGTGATGTTACTCTTTCCCTAGGGGCATCTTTTCAGGTGAGAGGTCAGCACTTGCACCATTAGCCAGAATATGAGTGTTCCATTAACCAGAGCTTACTGGACTCTGACCTATTTGGGCTGATGTTTTAGATGATTCAGTTAGAAAATCAGAAAACTGTGCCCTTACATCTCCCCCAGCTCTGCTTCCCAGCCTGATGGCTTCCTCGGCCTCTCACTTCCCCAAACCTCCCAGATTCTAGTCAGGTACACAGCTCCATTATGAAGGATTAAGCACCAGCATAATATCTTTACTCCTGGGTTTGCACGCATATAAACAAAAGAAAGCTACCACCTGTGAGAGAGAAATCCACTCTAAAGACTGGTTTATCTCTTAAAAGATCAGAAATCACTGAGCACAGATGTGAAGTCTGGAATCTCAATGGCTTGGGAGGCTGGGGCAGGAGGATTGCAATTTCAAAGCCAGCCTCAGCATTTTACCTCAGCAACTTAGTGAGGCCCTAAGCAATTCAGTGAGACCCTATCTCTAAACAAAGTATTAAAAAGGGCTGGGGATGTGGCTCAGTGGTTAAGCACCCCTGAGTTCAATCCCAGTTGCAAAAAAAAAAAAAAAAAGTCAGAAATCAAATTCATAGAACTAGGTACACAAGTTAGCTTTATTTGAAAGCATAAATTTGTAATCAATGCATAGAGAGGATGCTCCATGCTCCAAAATAATTTGGGGATGAAACTGGGAAGTGTCAGCATTTGAAATGGAAGCCAGTAAGAGTCAGTACAGGTATGGAGAAGACTGACCAACTGTAGTGACCCACCCTAAAAGATAACTTCTTAAATGTGTTGTTTATTTATACATCCACTCTACAAGCATTTAGTGAGTGCCTATTAAGAACCAAGAGATACACTCAGCACTACTGTGATGGACTTCTCCAAGCCTGTCTCCAGGAAGTCAGGTCAGACCTTCAAAGACTGGAAGGGACCCCTAGAAGAAGGGTCAGGGTCCTTTTCATGTGTTTTAACTTTTCTACAATCATTACTTTGTCATTGAAGTTGGAGGGGCTGTATGAAGTCTATAAAGAGGTAAAAAGAAATTGTTACTTAGCATCACCCAGCACTGTTGGAGGGGAGGTGGGCTTACTGGCCACCTAGTCGGCTGGACCGCTATCTTCCAGAGCACACTAAACATCAGGTAGTAGGGAATATGAGATTGATGGTGCATTCCATTAAGATTTTCATTTTCCACTGGGCACAGTGGCACACCCTATAACCTTGGGAGGCTGAGACAGGAGGATTGAGAGTTCAAAGCCAGCCTCAGCAACTTACCAAAGCCCTAAGCAACTCAACAAGATCCTGTCTCTAAATAAAATACAAAAAAAAAAAAAAAAGAAGAAGAAGTGGCTGAGGATGTGGCTCAGTAATTAAGGGCCCCTAGGTTCAATTCCTGGTACACGCACACACACAAAAAAGATCATCACTTTCCCTTGGCTCAGATTTCATGCATCTATGAAAATAGAAACTCCGTGAAGGCAGAGACTGTGTATCTTGCTCATCATTATATCCTCAGTGCCTGGCACATAGTGGCCAATTTATTGCTTGTTCATTACACAACCTGCTAAACATGCAGTTCTCTATGTAAGTTTTTCTACTGGGGGAAAGAGCTAATTAAACAATCTAATGTTTATAGTACACATAGAGCAATGGTTCTCACATTTAAACACTGATGATCATCTTGGAAAAAAGAAAGAAAATTGCCTTGAAGTCTATTAAAATATGGAATACTGAATCCCACCTCCCAGAGTTGGAATTGGAATTTGCATTTCTAACAAACTGCCATGTGATGTTGGTGCTGTTGGTTGGGGACCACATTTTTGGAACCATTAACACAAAGAAAAGCACCTTAAGTTATAAGTCAGGCATGCTTAGTTGCTGTAACTCAGTTCCTCAGGAGTGAATTATCTCTTAATACCTGAGGCTCGGCTCTTAGATCAGAGTGGCTCAAAGTGCAGGCCCCAGGACAGGCAGAGCATCAGGATGCTTTTTACTCCTAGATATTCACGTCAATTAACCACTTATATTTATTTCTTACACACATTGTGCTTTACTATAGCAAAATCACAAGTGATCCTAAAGAGTAGTAGAACAGTGCTTCTCAAACTTGTGCATCAGGCTCACCTGGAGGTGCAAAATGCTTCTGACCCACACTCACCCGTTTGACAAGCAAGTTAATCTAAAGCAGTAGTCCCCAAATGATGCTGCATATTAACATCAACATCACCTTTAATCCCAAAGATTAAAACTAAAATCTCATATCAAGTAGACTAAGATTTCTGGGAGTGGGAGCCAGGGACCATTTTTTAAATACCCCCCAGGTGATTCCAGGGTATATCAAAATTCAGGGATCAGTGATAGAGAACAAGTGGCAATGTGAAGCTTTAAGCTCTTAACAAAGATTCTCTCTTGGACCAAACTCTAGCCAGGCTCCTCTGAGCCCTCTTTTCAATGAGTCCTCAATCTTGGCCTATGGACACTTGAACAAACTCTAACCTAGTGTCTAACAGGTCAAGGTTACATCCTTAAAAGGACCCAAGACTTCCCTGAAGTTCTCACCTAAGAAAATTCAAGCCTTCCAAAAAAATTTACCACTAGTTCCAACTAACATCTGAAGATAAGGCCCATGCCCTGTCGGTGGCAGGGTAGGACCCTAACTTTGATAAGGACCATTAATAAACCCAGGTGCATTTCATATGAACCAGCCCGATACCTACTTTTTGTAACTATTTTACATTCCCGACTCTACCAAGTTCCTACTGGCACCTATCCCTTCTCCCTTTAAAACGTCAATTACTTCTGTACTGCCTCAGGTTGAGTTCAGTTCACCCTGGACTCTTTTCCCTATTACAATAATTTATTGCTGAGTAAAATTGTCCTTGCTACCTTAACTAGTATACAGTTGTATCTTTTATGCTCTTCATATAACCAATTTTAGAGCCATTCCCTATGAATTAATCATAGCAAGCTGCCCATGAGCATAGCTTCTTTTTTTTTAACTATAAGGTCCAGAATAAAGAAAAAATGTACAAGTTACAAACCTAGAGATGGGACATTTAAGTGTACTAGAGGACTAGAGTTGGTCTGCTGGACAGTGAGCTTCTGATCAAGTACAATCCTGAACTGTTCTGTAGAGTGGAAACAACATGAGCCCCATTGAAAAGAAGAGGACCTAGTTTTGTCCTTTTAAAGCTCTGGAACCAGAAGCCAGGGCTTTCTTATTTATAAACATCATGCCTGACTCAGAATTGATGCTTTTAAATACAAGTTGCCTGACTTCTTCACTACCAATGGTTCCTCCACTGTTTTCCTATAATTAAATTCAAATCTTCAGCATCCTAAAAAGAAAAATCTATGAGGTTGATTCATTTATGTTCCAGGACATGCCCTGGTTAGTTCATTAATGTTTTAGTAGTCAATTAAGTCACACAGGGTTTGCTTTGTTTCAGGGAGAAGCACAATTTATTTCTAAATAATATTTCATATCACAAGTTGAACCACAAAAGACAGAAGCCGTCTGTCAGTATGCAATCCTCAATTCTTTCTGTCTAATGACCTTCTGGAATCTTCTGGATTATGCTGATATAAACTCTCCATTTATATTCCACTGTGGGCTATGAACCCCTATGAGAACCTGATCAAAATTATGGACTTTCTCCCAAGAAAAATGCACATACACATAAGCACACAAACTCTGCACACAATTTGAAGGGGCTCAAAGACTCCCTGAAACACACACATCCTTAGACTCTGGCTGAAGACCCTGTCTACACCATGGCCTGCAGAGGGCAGCAGGGCAGCTGGAGCCCACATTGAGAGTTGCATTCAGGAAAGCTGGGGACACTGTAGAACTTGATTAGCTTCTTGAAAGCACTTTTCTTCAGGAGCATCATCTCTTCTGGAAACCTGGAGAAGATTCTGACCCTAGAGGAGCCCCCATTCTTCACAGAGCCATCAGCAGGCAGTGGCTTCTGAGCACTCACGGGCACACTATTACAACTGAGGGACCTCACTGTCTTCTTCTTATTCTGCACAGACAAGTAACTGAACAGAAAGGAGGACAGCTTATGCTTGGTGGCATCTGGGGCCTCTTCTAAAAAGCAGTCATCAAGTGGGTCCAGCAAGGTTTCTATGCGGCAGCTGTCTTCCCTTCTCACAGGACTGGCTCCCACACGCTGAGGCTGTTTGATGATCTTCCTGGCCTGGGCTGGGTCATCTCCTGCCTCATTGACAAACTGAAGGGACATTCCACTGGCCATGGCTCTGGAGCCATTGGTTTGAGGGATGAGGTTCCTGACCATGCGGCTTGGTTGGGAAGTACAGTGCTGACTCAGGATGAAAGTAGCAGCATCTCGAATGAGCTTCCAGTCTCTCAGGATGTCATCCTTGGTGGTAAATTGGGATGTCACAGTGAAACGGATGATCAACTTGTCCTGGATAGTGGCTGGGATGAGGAAGAGCTGGCCAGCTTTGGCTATTTCCTTTAACACACTTTCTGTGAGACAATTAGGTCCCTGTTTGAAGGATAAAGAGAAGTCTAGATCACATCCCCTTGTAATCATCTCCAGAAACCCAATGTCTACATGTCCAAGAGATTCAACAACTCCAGAACACTGAAGAACATCATTGGAACATGGCATTACCTTCAGACGAAAAACCACCAGGCCAAGGTGCCTCTTGGCAGGAATTTCAAAGAAAGGGTCATTTCTGACTAGAGATTCAAAATATTTAGCCATTTCTGTACCCTGGAATGGTGAATGTAGAGAAAAATGAGGTTAATAATCAGGCATAAACTTTCACATCACGAAACAGTTTAAACCGGTGACACCTTTGAACCATGGAGACCTAAGTGGCTTCTGCTTGCCTCTCTTCTTCATGTGATCTCACTCATATTGCAAGCTGGAAAATCTCCACTGGTTCCCTTGGTCCTGTCACATCAGACCCACCTGGAGAACTTGTATCTCAGGGCCCTCTTTCAAGTCATCCCCAGAAACTAGAATCTATGGGCTTTGTTATTCAAGCAATCTGACCTCCTATTCTGGAGTGAACACTTCTTAAGGGGCCAGGGGAGCAGACAAGGGCCAAAACTCTGTGCTCATAGGCAGGTGCCTCCTTCCACGGCACAGGTTCGCAATGGCCCAGCCTCACCCTAAACCTACATGTTTTCTTTGCCAACCTCTTCACATCTTGAAACTCAAATGCCCTTTCATCTTCCTTTTTTCATTTTTTCATGTTTTATTGGTGCATTTTGGTTGTACATAACGGTGGCATTTGTTGTCACATATTCATACATGCACACAATATAACAATATAATTTGGCCAATATCATTTCATCCCTCTTTTTCTAAATTCCACAAAGAACATTATTTTATATATCATCCTAACCTACGGAGCAGAAAAACCTTTGTACATGGCTTAACGGTAGTTTCTGCTTGGGTGGGATGATGAAAATTTCCTGAGTTGCACAACATTGCAAGTACACTTAATGTCACATTAAATTGTCCCCTTAAAAATGCTCAACAAGGTACATTTATGTTGTGCATATTTTATCACCGAAAAAGTTAAAGATTTTACTATGTGTTCATCCTTCACTGAAGTTTGTGTCATCTTTTAAAATTTCCTATTTTTTTTAGTTTTTGTTTTTACCTAGGATTATTAACAAAATGAAGACAAGACTTCCCTTTTCTTTAATTTTTAAAAATTCCTCCAAGCATCCAGAAGAAAGGCAATAAAATATCTGCTACGTGGTTCTGTCCGTTGGAACTCACACCTGCTGTTCTATTTTAGAAGACAAGAGATTAGCTTTGTCTTTGACCAAGAGTAAACCCATTCCTCTATTTGTAGCAATTTTCAAAACCCCTTTCTCTCTCCATTGTGTGGTCTGTTGTAGTCTTAAACACTACCCCAAGAACTTCTCCTTTGTAAGTTCTAAGGCTGTCTCTCCTAGGGAAAGTACACTTCTAATTGTTTTCTAGCTGTCTCTACTTTTGCATTTCATTTTCTAATTTGATCATGAGTCTCCTCTCCAGGCCCATTTCCACCATTTACCAAGCTTGATATCCTTCTGAGTAAATTTTTCTGCAACATAATCAAGCACCATTAATACAGCTCAAGTGCAGACCTGGAATCAGGCTAAGAACAGGAAGCTGATGCTCTGGAGCAAGAAAAGAGACCCAGAAACCATCGTTGTTCAACCTCCACAGTTTCTAGGAGAAGTCAAAGGAAAGTGACTTTCCCAGCCGCCAAGGGGTGGAAGGCAGGGCTCCTGGCTGCCTTCTCCCAGCATGCTCTGCTCCTTCCTGCAATGCATGCTGTTGACAATAAGACAGAACAGAGGCCAGGGGAGAGGCGAGAACATCACAGGCAGCGAGTCCACCACCAAAGCCCACCTTTGTGGGCAATGAGATCAGAGCTGCACACTCCAGTCAAGGTGCACAAAGCCCAGCTCCTACTGCTTTTTATAAATAAAGTTTTCTGCAACACAGCCAGTCATGCCCATGTGTTGTCTATGTTGGCTTTGTGCTATGACAGAGTCAGGAAGTTACAACAGAGACCGTCTCTGTATGGCCCCCAAAGCCAAAAATAATTACCATCTGGCTTTTCAAAGCAAAAGTTTACCATCCCTATTGGAGGTGATAAGAAATGATGGTGGGCTGGGGTTATGGCTCAGAGGTAGAGCACTCGCCTCGCACCTGCAAGGCCCCAGGTTCGATCCTCAGCATCACATAAAAATAAATAAATAAAGTAAAGCTATTGTGGAAAAAAAAGAAATGATGATAATGATGACAACTTGTTAGAAAAGGGAGAAAATAAAAAGAGGGGAAGAGGGAGGAGCAGGGAATATCGAGTACCGAACTGTCCTCCACCAAGAACTACATATGTATACTGTTATTTAATTCTCACAATAAACTTTTGAGAGTGAGATTATCATTTTCCCATTTTATAAACCAGGAAGGCAAACATAGGAAAATTAAGTAATTTTTGGCACAAGGTAACCAAATACTGAAATGGAACTAAAAATCAAACCCAGATCCCATTCTCTAAAGCACAACTATGTAACAAAGAAATACAAAACTTGGCTTTATGTAAAGACAAGAGCTTTGCATAGGAAGAAATGGCCCAGAACACTGACTAAAGGACTTGTAATTGGGAAGCTTGAAATAAGATCCCAGGATTTTCACTCTTTTTTTTTAAAGAGAGAGTGAGAGAGAGAGAATTTTTTTTTAATATTTATTTTTTGGTTTTGGCAGGCACAACATCTTTGTTTGTATGTGGTGCTGAGGATCGAACCCGGGCGCACGCATGCCAGGTGAGCTCGCTACCGCTTGAGCCACATCCCCAGCCCCCGAGGCTTTTCACTCTTGAGCAGGGCAAGCACTATCTCTGAGCCACACCTAATTAGGGTGACCACCACAAGCATTGTTTTAAGAATCTATTGATGTTGTGTCCACTGAAAACTAAAAAAATAAAATAAATATTTTTAAAAAAAAAAAGAATCTATTGAAACAGTCTATTTAAAAAAAAATTAAGACATATGCAAGTAACAATAATTATAATCAATTTAAAAAAAATAAAATTAACTCATACAAAACAACTTTTGTTTTGATTCTAGCCCCTACTATGGTGAGACACTGAGCCTTGGGCTCAGACTCTCATTTGAGTCTGAGTATGTGACCCTGGGAATACCAAGGAGGTAGAGACCGGAACAAAAGGAATACTCAGGGACTCTCCGGGAGGAAGTGGAGCTTGATCCATGAACAACAATTGAGAGGAGATGTCAATCCAGGTAAAAGGTACCGGTGAAGGTACGGGTGGCCTGGGCATGGGTTTTTGGATGGCTTCCTAACATGCCCAAGCTGAGGTGGAAACTTAACTGATAATCAGGCCCTTGGCAGGCAGGCCCAGAAGTGTGGACTGATGTGGCAAAATAGATGGGAACTCAGAGGCTGGGCTGGCAAAAGGCAGCATTTAGAGAAGGTTGACGGCAGCTACACATTGAACATCCAGTCTTAAGTTGTAACCAAAGAATTTTCCTAATTATTTGTGACCTCTACTGCCTCATTCCCCACCCATTACCCTCTGACCTTGAGGATCGAACAAGAGTATGAAATGCCAAAAACCCCTCAGTTTACTGGTGGCAGCTTATAAATTAGTGTCCACTGTTGATTACAAATGTAAAATTACAAACATTAGGACCAGTCATAGTTACTGCCTTGACCTCTTCATTTTGTTTTGTTGTTGTTGTTTGAAAGAAGTAGCGATTCCCTAGTAGAAAGGTAGAGAGGTAAAGATTTGCCTCATGACAAAAAAAGAGTGTTTTTGGATTGACCCTGCTGCTTTTATCAATAGCTCTGTCTTTCACATAGGCTCTTGAAGAACTTTAGCTGCTGGCTCAAGTTCCTTAAGTCCCACCTCCTCCATGAAGAATATGCATTTCTCCCTTATCTCTGTGTCCCTTTCTTAGCCCAATAATTTTGTAGTTATTTAATTGAATTGGAATAAATTGTACCAAATATGCCTTCAACAAACAGCTGTTAACACAACCCAGGGAGACATATTACAGATTTGGTGGGTCTGAAGAGCTACTTCAGGCATAACCATAACAACAATTAAAATTTTCAGCCAGGGCGATTCCAAAAAAGATCCTACCTTGGCCATCCACACTGCTCTTTGATTTACTTTCTTTTTCTCTGCAAACCAGGCTCTCAAGCTATCACTCCCCAGTGCTCAGTGACAGCAAAAGGCATGGTGAGACATTCAGCAGAGAAAACAGGCACCAGAGAGCCCTTAGGCTGATATTGTGCTCAGTGCTTCTCCAGTTAACAAAGATAGGGCCACCCTGAATAATCAAATCTCAGGAGCCCCTGTGTAGTCCCAGACACCTGAGCCAGACACCAATGGCCCCCTGGGTATGTCAGTAAAGCAGAGCAGAGCCTTCCTCCCCAGGAGAAAACACAGCAAGATGGGTTCAGCACCACAGCGTCCATGCTACATACGTGTCTGACATGTGCTTGAAGATTCTTCACTCCGAAGGACCGAATCACAAACCAGAGTTTAATAGAGCGAAACCGCCGGCTCAAAGGGATCTGCCAGTGCTAGAATTAAAAGAACACAGTGATCACAGTTAGAGACAAGGGTGTCTGTTCCCTTGGACACTCTTGGGCATTATCTGTTGCTTGCCCAGCCCTCAGGCATGGACACTGTCACCATGACTCCTGAAGCTGTTGCTAAGGAGCAAGCCAAAGCAAGTTATCCAAAGGGTACTCCACTGATAATGGTGGCCAATAATTCCTTGTCCAGCCTCAAGACAAGTGAAAACTCAGTCCATAACCTTGAACTAATGAGAAGAGCACTTTTCTTTTAATGCTGTTTTAAATATCTCATCCCAGTCCAGAAACTCAAGATAGAGGAGATATATTTTTTTTTTTCTGTAAAAGAACTTGTTTCATGAATAAGGTGTTCTATTTCTGTTCCAATGAATTAGATAACAATTAAAAGTGGGGTAGTTACGAGCTCAGATACTGGCGCCCCGCAGATCTGGGTGTCTCCTCCAGCTTAGCCACTGACGAATTGTGTGAGCCTGGGCGGAGACACTTCACTGCTCATCCATGAAACAGAATGGACAGCAGTTTCCAGGGAAGTGGTACAAGGAAAACAGAGGGCAAAAGCTCAGCGGAAGTTGTCAGTGAGGATTGTTATTAGATAATAAACTATGTGAGCTGCCAACTCACAGCAGTATTTCTATCTAGAACCAACATATTACTTATTTAATCTCACTGCCCTATCCTGACTTGTGAGATTCCTGTGACCTCAGGGGTATCACTCAAGCATTCAGATTTCAAATGGGCATCCATCCAAATCTCTGTTTCTGTTAGACTGAAATTGACCCTTTGTTCTGGTGATGGAATTCAATAGGGCTTAAAGTTCAAAGTTGCAGTTACCATAGGTCTGACATCTTCCAAACCAATTTCTCAGATCTGAAAACAAAGTAAAGAGTTTGAAAAGTGTTTATTTATTCTAAGGTGTAGTGGGGTTTTTAATAACCTATACCTCCACTGTCAGAAAGCTTCCACCACAATTTTTAATTTGCTAAAAAATAAATATTTGGGGCTGGGGCTGGGGCTCAGTGGCAGACTCACACATGTGAGGCATTGGGTTCGATCCTCAGCACCACATAAAAATAAATAAACAAAATAAAGATATTTTTAAATGAAATAAATAAAAAATAAATATTTGTCCTGTCAAATATTTATCTGCCCATCCATGGAATTGCCAAATCCTCACAAATGTCCTCATCTTCAGCCTTCAACCCAGTTTCCTGGGTTAGGCACTGTGGGGACATTACTCCTGTGTCAATGGACTATATTTCTCCTGCATGAAAATATCAAATTTTGATTTCCAAACAAAACTCTCATCACGTGGAGGAGCAGCTTGAGGACCTCCATTAGCCAGCAGAGGGCATCAAAGCTTGGAAACAAAACGAAATTTCTGTAGCAGGGAATGCGTCTACTCCACCTCTTGTCCAAAGGACGGACACTCAAGGAGAATAAATAATGAATGCTAAGCTAACAGTTGTCTCTAAAAACATTCTGGTTTCCAGGTGGTTATGGCCAATGGAATACTTTATTTCATCAGCAAATTAACAGGGAAAGGCAGAGACGATTTTAATTTTGACTTCTTCATAATCATCTTTATTCCCAGTTGTTCTTCTTTTGTCACTCTTCCAAAACCAATTCATACTGGCTCAGAAGGGTGGCTTGACCCAAGAATTTCTGTCAGCTCAAGACATCTGAATTTACAAAGGCTGATGTGGCTCTTTTTTAAGTAGTGACCTTCCCCAGCCTCCTCTGTGTCCTTTCAAGGTTTTGTCAGTCTCCACTGCCAAGGGCAAGACAATGCCCCATCCACTGGGGCTCACTATGCTATTGGAGGGAAAGGAAATGAACAGGAGGGGAGTTTTGCTGACGGCAGAGGGACTGATTTTAGGTGATTCCAAGGTCCCAGGAATGCACCACTATTTCTGGCTCATCTCAGAGCAGGGATGAGCTTCTATTTAAAACTGCAGGCACTTGGCTGCAAAAGAGCTTGGGGTCTGGGTCAGAGCCCCTGTGAGACCCCCAGGATCACAACAAAGATAGCAGCTTCAGTGTTCTCAGAGTTTCTTCATAGTCTTAAAAATTAAATCCACAGGATTCCAGATGGAGGAAGAACAAGTATAAAGTAATGCTTTTTGGATGTAGAAGGTAAAATACTAAGATTACCATGGACCAGCACGTGGAAAAGTTTAATTTAGATTTTTCTAAGCTATCTGGAAAAGAGAGAATACTGTAAAAATCTCCAATCTGGTGGGAATGAACCATAGGAAGATCTTGAGATACTCTGATAAATGAACAACAATAACAAAAAGCTAACATGAAATTCAAAACGGACAAAGGCAAAGATAATGTTCTTAGGTTATGGTGTTCTTAGGTTAAAATCCACTTTTAGGAGAATGGGTATTGTTTTGTGCTCAGGAATAAAACTTACCCGTAAAAATAACTGTGTGGAATTTTTAAATTTTTTAATTTGAATTTTTCTGAAAACCCACCAAAAAAGGGAAGTTGAGATGTCCTATCTTTATTCACCTCTAGAGGGTCTTCTCCTACCACTGCAAGTTTACTGCCTGCAATTCCAATCAAAAACCTTCACAGATCTCAAGCAAGCATGAACTGGTCTAGGAGAGAACAACCCTATAATCAAGTGATGATAGAGCTCATGTGCCTGAGGCCACCCAAGTTAGTGAGTGGAGAAGCCATGGTTCAAACACAGGTAATTTGGCTTTAGCACCTGCAAGCTTAACCACTTTGCTGTAGCCAATCTCTGCAGCTCAAAAGAGATTTTAGGAGTATTGTGACTACTGTTTATTGCGCATTTGCCACACAGGTATTGTGCTAAGCAATCTATATGTAGATTACCACTTAAGCCTAACAATACCCTATGACAGTGGTAACACTGTTGCCATGTCATAGACGAGAAAGAGCTCAGAGAGGTCCAATAAGTTTCCTGAAGGGCCACTGCTGTTATGGAATTCCAAACTAAGATCCCTGCATTCTGCTTCACAGCCTCCTGTTAGCTATGCAATACATAATGTATATTGTTTACATCCCTGAATGTGAGTTTGGGAGAGTGGAGATGCAGGCAGTTGAGAATGCCAAAAAATGCCTGGAGACATCCAGAACCTCACAAAGGGCACACGTGTCTCGCCATATCACAGAGCTCCCCACAGTGCCTCTGTCAGGCACAACGACTAAAAGCAATGTAAGCAAGGAACCTCTTCCCCACCCAGGGAAATGCTCCATCCCTCCCTGCTTGGTAGTGACTGAAAAACATATTATCCAAGATGGAGAAGAAGGATTGACCCACCTGTAGTAGGGAAAATATTTCTAGGAATAAAATTAAAAAAAAAAAAAAGCCACAGATATTCAGGAAATGTGCATTCTGCCTCAAAATTTGCTCTCCTTTTCTAGGGTTTTTAATAGTTTTCTGGGTTACATTCAATATACTCATGCACAAGTTGAAATCAAAGGAACACAGTGTCAGTATCATGGGATGAGCTCAAAGTGTTCTGCCTCCTGAAGGGAGCCAACATGCAGGAGGACTTTGGGGTCAGAGGCAGCCAGTTCCCACCTCGGAGGTCACAAGCTGCCCTCCGTCTCCTGGGTACTCACCATGAAGTCAGTGGCAGCACCAGAGTTGGCATGCCTGAGGTAGATGGGGTTCACACTGAAGGTCTGCTGCAGCTTGTACTTGTCCTTGACCCTGGGGGTTTCCAAATGGGTATAAGTGTCAGAGTTTTCTCCAAAGGAAACAAGGCTCTCCCATGTGCTCAGAGCTTGGCTGACAACACTCACCAGAACCCAGTACAGTCAAAGTGCACCATCATCCACTTGGAAGGATTGAAGGTAAAAGAGTCAGCATACTCAATGCCTTTCAGAAATCCCCGGAACTCAGGACACAGGAAGGCAGTGCCTGCATAAGCAGCATCGATGTGAAGCCACAGTCCCTCACTGGCACCTGAGGAAGTAAATGTGACCTGCTGGAGAGGAGGCATGAAGTAGGGAATCGAAAGACATCTCTCACTTCGCTCAGCTGGATGGTAGGCAAAGGGAATAGCTGGGAAAGGATGATGTGCTTGGCTAAATGAGCCATCAAAGTGCATGCAAATGGAAGGATGGGGTGTCAGTGTGAGGGAGAGGGGCTGAAAGAGGTGTCACTGCCTCCTAATGGGAAAGTCTACTAAAACCTCACCCTGACCTTTTTCTCACATTGGACAGAGGACCAACACCCCCTTGGCTTCAATCTAGAATATCCTAGAACAACCAACTTCCCACTATCCCAGAAAGCAATGTTAATGCATCTAATACAAAGGCTAGAAAGATGGCTCTCTTTCTTAGTGGGTATCTCTGTTGTGGATTAAACAATTATATTTGGGTTTCTTCTCTGCCTTTATCTCTCATATGGTTTTCCCTACCCTACTCTTTTCTTTTTCTGAAGCAGAATAGAAAATATCTCCCTGTACCTCATTCGCCCTGTTTTTTAGATACAGCCTGCTTTAGGTAGATTTCAACATACAAGTGAGAGAATGAGAAAACCTGAGACTCTCAGTTATAGTTTGGAACTTGAATGACCCCAAAGGTCCATGTGTTAAAGGTCCACAGAGTGGCCCTCTTGGGGGGTAGTGAGACTTGTAAGAGGTGGGGCCTTATGGAGGTCTTTAGGTCATTGGGGATGTGCCCTTGACAAGGATTTTGGAACCTGATCTCCCACTCTATCCCTTCCTGGCTTGTGATGGGGTAAGTGGTTTTTCTCCACCATGTGCTCCCACCATGATATGCTGCTTTACCACAGGCTCAAAAGGGACAAAGCCAGCCAATCATGGACTGGAAAATTCAAAATTGTGAGCCAAAATAAATCTATTTTCTTCATAAGTGAATTACCTTAGATATTGGTTATATTGATGGAACGCTGACTAACATTCTTTCCTGCCATTGTCTCCCAGGAGAAGATGCATGATGGGGCAACTCTAACCCTTGTCTCACCACTAGGAAAAGCCCAGTGACCTGGGCTGCCTGGGAGTATCACCTTTGGTAATTCTTCCCATGTCCTCAAATTGACCAAAGAGGCAGGGAGAATAAGTCCATAGAGTTGGTTTCAGGAAATATTTCTCACTCTAGAAAATATTTTTAAATGTATTCCTTGTCTTCTTCACCACATGGGGCATATACTTACAGATGGGGCCCAGCTCTGACAGGCAGTCAAATGCACAGACCCCAGTGGTCCCTAGTGTTGCACAGACCTGGAAAGAAATGAAAGTCAGTTATCTGGGTAGGGTGGGTCTGAACAAAGATTTCACCACACACATTACCTACCATATGCATCCTACTAGAACAATGTGTATTTCACATTGTGTTTTAGCACAAACTAAGAAATATATTTTATGTAGCAATTAGTCCACATATACATGTGTATTTGAAATAAAATTTCAAAAAACAGTTCATACTCTGGCTGTCTAAATGCATTTGGATGTTTTCTATTTATTTTTAATGCTAGTCACAACAAATTTCATTTCATCACATATCGATGAATAGCAATCATAACTTGTAAAACAGTGTATTTGAAGACTCTTCTGCTCTGGTTTGCAGCACATTACTTACCTGAATTCTGCCCAAATTCCTTGCTCACATCCATGTTCTACCATTCTAATCTTAAGGATACATTCTGACTTACAAAGACAGGCACCAAGCCCCGCTGCTTGTCTTCCTCAATGGCTTTCTGAAGAACTTCCCCTCGAAGTGAGAAGTTGTCATCCACAGGTAGAAACTTCATCTTCACAAGGGAAATCAAACCAGCCTTCTCCACTGAGGAGTGAGCCTGGAAGGACCATGGAAACATGTTAGTAAAGAGTCTTCCTGGAATCAAGTTCAAATGGTCGAAGCTTGGCTCCCCCTAGAGATCCTGGAGAAAACCTCTGGGCCTGAGCTACCCTGAAGCACAAGGTGCTCATGTGCTAGAAGAAAACTGCTTACAGACTAAGGCCCTGGAAGCCAACCACCAACCTGAAGTTTGTCCTGTGTCAGGTAACTCACCTGGTCAGAGGCATAGGCGATGAAACGGGCATTCAGAAAGGACTCGTCGGCATCAGGCTCAGATGTTTTCATTTCCAAGATTTTGTTCTTCCTTGCAGCCAGCAGGGCGATCAAGGTAGATTCACTGACTGTGCTCTGTAGTGGAAGGATTACCAATGGCAGCCTCTTTCTATGTCCTCTTGATAAATTTTCCAAATTAAGTAATTTCCTCTGTTTATGTGTACATAACTCCTCCCTAAGGGGCCCTCCTTCTCCCCAACCCCTATTTTGCATTCTGAAAACAAATTTATATCTAATACCAACATCCCTATTAGAGAGACCAAAAAGAGAATGTTCCAGAAACCAAAAAGAGAAAGTTCAAGTTTGCTCCCTGTGTAAAACTTATTTAGTACTTTTTTGGGCTGGGGACCCACTCAGTGGTAGAGCCAATGCTTAACATGTGCAAGGCCCTGGGTTTGATCCCCAGAATGGAAAGGAGAGAAAAGAAAGGAAAGAAAAGAATAAAAGATAGAAAATTCTCAAAGGATTAGGTATGGAGATGGAGGTTGATTCCACAGGGATATTCCAGAGAGAGGGTCCTGGCTTATGTGAGAGGCTGGCAACTTTGACCCTGCTTTTGTTGTCAATGACTATTGTGACCTTGGGCTAATATTGCCCCTCTGTAAGATTCTTTTTTTCATATGTAAAATTAAGAGCATCCATTTAATTGCCTTCTGGGATGGGAAGGACCAGACAATATCCCTGTCGGCATGATTGTAGGAATACCGAAGGCCAGGTAGGCAGCTTCTCAGGATTCTATGATTCCTGATCATTCATTCACATAGTCCCTGGTATCTTTGCTCCTTGACCTATAGCTGATAGAATCCTGCTAAAGAGCTTTTCAGACACTGTTATGGCCAGGGAGTCAAAGTTTCATCAAAAAACTGTTCATACTCTGGCTGTATAAATCTCTCGTGGACCAGATTCCACGAGAGAGTCAGTGGCTGAAAATTACTCCATAACAAGGAAGCCAACTTAATACTAATACCACCTTCCATCTGTATCCCAATCCACAGTTTATGAAACACTTCCTGTTATCCTCCTTGATCCTCACAACACCTCTCTGAGATAATTATGATACTTATCCGACTATTGATAAGGATAGTGATGCTCAGATCAGTTATCTCAAGTTCACATGGCTAATGCACACAGAAGAGAGCATGGTTTGAATGGGAACAGGCATGGATTTGAATCCTCATTTTCCCACTTACCATCTGTGTGGCCTATTTGAGCTCTCTGAGCTGCAGAGCTCTTATCTCAAAAGTTGGAAATGACACTATATACCTACAGGGTTCCTCAGATGATTAGATGTAAGATCATGTAAGTAGACATTGTGCACATTCTCCCAGATATAATATATGAAGTTTCAAGTATTTGCTAACAACCCAGCAGGTCCACAACCTGCAGCTGTTTTTCTTTCTTGTAAGGTTACAAATTTAATCCTGCTGCAAGGTTGGAGTGAGAGAAGCAATAACTTAGCTGGCAAATGGAGCCAGTGAACTTGCCAGTTCTCTCACTCGGTACATTATGGCTCTTTGTATCTAATAAGAGAATTTATTTAATACCACGCCAACTCTTTAGGAAAATATTATTATCTCTAGATTATAAAACCAGGAAAATTACAAATTACAATAGAATTTGAGAATTTGGGGATTCTCAAAGGCCTCAGAACAAAGACCTCTTGAATGCCAAGGGTTCATAGATGCAGATGGACCTAGCCATGTGCATGGTGTATGGGAGGCATCCAGAAAGCTCCACTCTGGGCGGAAAAAAAATATTTGAAGAACTATCATTTGACACATATCCCAAAAACAGGATCCAAGGGCAAGGTTCCTCACTCCATGTTGTTAATTTCCCTCCCAGAGATTTCCCCAACCTAAGGTGGGAGTGGGCTCTCCTTGACTTCTCTCTTCCTCTCTTATCACAAGGTGTAAAGTGGGACAACAGAGAGGAACTGTCCGATTATAAACTAAGAAATTTGAATTAAGAAATAATGGAAGTGTGATAATCTGTGTTGCCTTTTTAGTCTCTTTCAAAGAAAAAGGAGAGAAAGTGGTGAAGGTGGGAGCAGCAGGTAAATGAAATGGAAGATGAGGTGGCCCTAGTGGCGGCTGGGGTGGAGGCTCAAGCTATCTCAACGGTGCTGTGGCTGAAGATGTTGTCAATCAAGGAAGTGATGTTGGTAATAATGATGGTGGTTAGGGTAGCCCGAGGAAACTCTGAAGAATAGGAAAATTGCTGGGGAAGGGCTGGCTTTTCTTTGACTACTTAGCCCCTGTGCTAGGTAGAGATTGTCAATGCGCCACCTGCAAGACACCTCCCCCCTGGCTGCCGGGATGGTGATGTAGGAAGTGCTCAGGGAGTCCCAGCATTTTCGCCAGCCAGTCCATGACGTTCATCTCCAGCTCTGTGCATGCAGGGCTGGAAGCCTGAAAAAGGGAAAGAAATTTCATCTGCACAGACCCAAAGCACTGAGACACCCCCACCAGCCCCAGAGCCACTTCTCTCTGCCTATATCAATGGGAGCCTCCCTAGAGAAGGAGTCAGCGTCAGGTCCGGTACCTGCCCTCATCCCACCCTCTGCCAAACCAAAAGGGAAAAGAATATGGGGCATTGGATTCATTTTGTCCTCAATGACAGATTCTCCAGGGCTCTGTGAAGAAATTCCTAGAAATTATTCGTTTGGATTTGGTTCCCTAAGTCCCTCAAAATACCCAAGAAATACTCCAAAGACAAAAGCAATGTGTTCTGACTAAGAAAGTATAGTATTCTCTCCTGGAAAATATAGTGATATAGTGCCTTATAGGTTTAAAATATAGTTTTTTAGGAGGACTTTGGCACAATTTAAAGCTAAGTAATGATAGGTGCAGTGGTGCATGCTTGTAATCTTGACCACTCAGGTTAAGGAAGAAGGGTCTCAAGTTTGAGGCCAGCCTCAGTAACTCAGTGACGATCTGAACAACTTATTGAGATTCTGATCCTGCTCAAAATTAAAAAATAAAAAGGGCTGGGATGTAGCTCAGTGGTAGCTCATTAGTACCAAAATAAATAAATTAAATTAAAAAATAAAGCTGAGTAGTGCTGAAGGAATTATTAAGGGAAGTCTGAAGACATTTCTCTAACTCTTTAAAGACATGAGCTTGGGGGAAGTTGTGACCCAACTGGCGTCAAAGTGCTTAAAGGTCACAAACTGTAACAAGAACCAGATCTCAGCTGAAATCTCGTCTGTGTCTCTATACTCTGTGTGATCCTGGGAAGATAAGTTACTTAAGCCTCAATTTCCTCATCTACAAAATGGGCCAGTACTTGTGATTCTGTTGGATTGAAGGATTAGAAGAGATAATTCATAAACAGATTAAACTTAAAGAATATTGCCATTATTCATGTTTTTACGTGGCACTCCATTTTTAATATTTGTCTTGGACTCCTCTTCAGAGGCCTGTATAAAATATCTGCCCTATGATGCTACCCACCTCCTGAAAGGTCCCCAGGTGCCAGTAGTTACCCGCCACTGCTACTCACCCAGGTGAATCCTAAGCAGTTGATGGCATCGGCCAGCATGTCTCCCAGCAGGGATGGCCAAGAGGTAAGGGCTGGGTAGTAGGCATGCATGTGGGGGCTCTGCCAATGTACCACCTAGAGGCAGAATATGCACACAGTTGGCATCAGGAGGCATTTCTAGGAGGCTTTCTTCCTCCAGAGACCCTCCCTGGAAAGGGGAAACAACTCTAGAGATGGGAGAACACTTTTAAGATAGGTGATACAACTCAACAAAAATAAGACGTGTTCATTGGTATTCTTTAATCACCCACATGCCTCATATTCTAAGCTAGGCCATCAGTGGAGCCTTGGCACATACCAGAAAGAAATATGCAAAATAAAATTGTCTGTATCAGTTAGGTTGTGGGATTCTGGGTAGTGTTCACATTGATCTCCAATGTTTATCCCCCCTGTTGCTCCTGCCCAGTAATACAAAGAAACTCTAAAAGAGCAAATTGCTTGTCTCATCTAATTTCCTGCAAAAACTTGTTTTATGGAGCATTGAGCTCTCTGGGCAGGCAGTTCCTACAAGGGGGGGTCAGTGTGAGTAGATTCAAGGCTGTCCTTAGCTTTCCAAGAGGGAAGTCAGGAGAGGAGAGGACAGGGAGGAGGTGCCAGCCAAAGGGTAGGGAAGGCTAACCTCCAGGCTAACTCCTCCGCCCACAATAGGAAACAGATATAAGGAGGAGCTGGCCGGATGTGGAGGGCCCCTGCCCCAACATCCCTGATGGTTCATCTGCCTCATTAATTATCTAATCTCTCCTCATCTCACTGCTCTGTAAGCATGCTTAGTTCATTTCTGCATTTGCATCTTTGAGCAAGGCTGTTTCCCTTGAAGGGAAAGCACTTCCATGAAGATATGGCCCTTCCAGACCTGCTAATTCTTAGAAAGTTATTCTTCAGTTCCTCCGCATGCCCTTCCGGACCTCCCACAGCAGACCTCCTCCAGCCCATGAACCTCTATAATTCTAGATGTTTCCCCTGCCAATAATTTATTAGATAACATCTTAGAGTGTCATTCTGTTGTTTAGAGTGTGTGAATTTTTATAATCCTCCATGAGTAAAGACTGTGTCCTAGACAGTGTGTGGAGTAAAAGGATAAGATTTAAGTACAAGGACATAGTTTCTGGTTCTACTGCTGCCCCTAACCAGCTCCTTGTAGATTTACTGTGAACTAATGAATTTAGGCTCCAAGGTCCTGTGTTTGACATCTCCCCCACACACACACCTGCCACCCACTAATGTACCTCTTTTGAGATACATTTTTTAACTTTTTTTCTTAAAGGTGTTCTCAGAATGTGTGCACAATTCAGTCCCCATACAACCAGGACCTTCTCTTGTACCTCCCTTAACATCAGTTTCTCGTTATAAGGGATGACCCTTAGGGACAGATGGCAGCACCAAGACAGGAACCCCCAAGTTGCCTGGCTCCAGAGCCCAAACACCTAAGCAGAATGGTGTCCTGCTTCTTCCATGGGCTGCTCTCTCTTCCCCTATCTAAAAGTAAATGAAGGTTTTCAAACCAGGATTGGAATTAAAGTAGAAAGGAAGTTTTTCTTCTCTTAATATTAAGGAGGTGACAGGAAGGAAAAAAGAATCCAATTTTCAATGAGGTGCTGACCAAAATGAGAAAGCAAAGGGCCAACTGCTCTCAGGCCAATTCTCAGAGGATAGTATAGCCTATGAGATAAAATCAAAGATTGGACCCTCATTATCGCTGTGCTTAGTGACAGTATTTTGGAAACCCCAGAGAAGGGTTCCCACCTCCTAGGCCTATCAAGAGGTAATTATCTGTCCTTACAAGATAAATGAGAAGAGATAAACCAGAAGAGTCCTTATCAAAACAGACAGACCCCCTGTCCAGAAATGAGCCTCCTTGGCCACACCTCCCCCCAACTGCTGGGATTTCTTTCCATCAACTGAATCAGCTCATTTCTGGCTCTGCTAACGGTTGCTTTTTCTCTCCCTCAGATTACAGTTAGTGCCTCAGCCGATTGCATTTTACAAAATGGAACCTGTGAGATAATCTTATCAGGGAGCTAGCCTTTATGGTAAAGATTTACTGATATTGACATTTTCAAAAGAGGCTTGTAAAATAGACAATAGTAAAAGAGAGGTGAGTATTTGTCATTCTGCAAATTTGCTCTTGTTTTCTGAGTTTGAATATTTTCTCCTTTCTGCCTTCAAGCACATTTCTGGAATCTCCAGGCATCTCTGGAGATTCATCATCTGGGGATGATGGAGATGATTCTCAAGTCAGTGTTGGGAAGAGCTTCTAGACACACACACAGGTCAGGACACAATGACCCAAGCAGGGGGAGTGAGCCAAAAGCCTAGGTGTTAGGGGAATTACTGGGGTGTGGTGCTGGGGCCAGGTTCAGCCTCTCCTTGCTCAGGAGGCATCATCACAGTATAGGATAAAGAGCAGAGCCTTTGGTGTAAAACTGGCCTAGTGTGAACTCCTACATCTATCCAGTACAAATTCTATGACTTTGGGCAGGACAGTTAACTCCTGAGAGCCTGCATTTCCTCACCTGTCAAACAGAATCACTGTGAGGATTAAACTAGCTGACATATAGCCCAGCTGGTACAGTGCAAGGACACCTGGGGCAAGTTCTTCACCCTGGTGGCCAGGGATGCAGAGGTTGCTACCAGAACATCAGCCAACTCCCACCTCTTCTCTGACCTCACCAGCAACATCCCAGGCTGCTCCCTCCATCACTGAGTATCAATGATTCATGGAAAACTCATTCACCAACAGCTCAATCACCAGACCTCCCTGGTAAGAAGGACATGGTACCCACTCTACAGTGGAAAGAGGGGCTGAGAGGACCCCTCAGCTACCTGGGTCTCCATCCTGACAGCTAGGGTGCCTTCAGTGGATCATATTCCCCACTTTCTTCCTTTACTTTGGCATGAACTCAGATACTAGGTAGGAGAGTCCCTGGCTCTGCCTGTCAGGGCCCAGGGACTGTTTCCAGCCTTCTGTCTTCTGCCTTGCTATCTGTATTTCTTCTTTCCCTTCAAATAAATTTTTTATTTCTCATACCATTCCTTTAGATGCCCATTCCTTAAATTGGACTATGCCCTGAAATACAGTCATTATTGTCCCCGGCTACACACTCAACACTATAGGCCATCCCTGGTGTCAGAAACCTACCCCCAGTCAAAGTCCTGGCCCTCCACATGCCCAGAAGATGGAGGTGGATATTGGTGGAAGTAACAGAAGGATGCATTCTCATCCCAGACTGACCGAAGGCAGGTCTTTCTTCAGGCCACCACCCACCCTGTATGCCCCCAAAATCCAGAGTCACCCGTGTGGTCACTATATCTCACCCCTGGCATGATGATTCGCTCAATGTCCCCAAAAATGCTGTCCCAGCTATCAGGTTCCTCAGGCGCACTCTCAGGCAGCTGGGCTCGAAGGTAGCCAGGCTGCACATCTGGGGTCACCCGCCTCTCCCGCACAGTGCTCAGGTACTGGCAGATGTAATCCACCATCTCTCTCCCTAGAAGAAAGCAGAGAAACCAGGGTCGTGTCCCCTGACTGGCCCTGGCCAACTTGTGCCCATCCCTCTTGGATTGGGATCAAGAGAACGTGGTGAAAAAAGAGATAGAGTCATGGACCAGGGAAGAGTCTGATCCCAGTCATGCTCTTATCTTCAGAATTAAAAAAAATATAAAAATAAAAGAATGAGGGAGAAAATGACTGATGAAGAGGATGTGTGAATAACAAAATGAAAAAGAGGAGAAATCTCTAAAGTACAAAACTCTAGCTCCAAAGTAAAATATTTTCTCTTCCCCTCATTCATTTATGTCTCTCCTGCCTTTGTTTTCTTCTCAGAACAGAATAGCTATGAATTCTTTACCTTAGAGGTTCAGTAGGCTTAGGAGCTCTTTGTATTTAAAAATTGTTATACACAAGCCAGGCACAGTGATGCATGACTGTAATCCCATCGGCCTGGGAGGCTGAGGCAAGAGGATAGCAAGTTCAAAGCCAGCCTCAGCAACTTAGCAAGGCCCTAAGCAACACAGCAAGACTCTGTCTCTAAATAAAATATTTTTAAAAGGTCTGGGGATGTGGCTCAGTGGTTAAGTGTCTGTTGGGTTCAATTCTTGATACAAAAAAAAATGTTATACACACATGTATATACACAGAGTTTCTCTCCCTTTCTGTGTGTGTTTATGATTCTCTCAATATCCATAAACCTTTCTTAATACAATGTAGACTCCTTTTACCCCTGCAGAATAAAGGTTTTGTTTTGTTTTAAATGGAGGAGACAGTACCCCATTTCTTCCCTCTGCATCAGCTCATGAAGTTCTTATAAAGAGAATGAGCCCCAGAAAATACTAAAGAATCAAAAAGATTTCAGCACTTTTCTTTCTGCTCTCCTGCAACCCTCTCAAAGCCCAGGGGCTCTGGTGACTTCTGAAGTGCCCCACCAGAGGTCAAGAGCTCTGGACCTACCTTCCCCTTGTCAGGCACAGTATAAATGAACTTGTGTTCCCATCACAGGATAAAGTCCACAGCAACCTGCTCTGAGCTCAATATGCCTTGGCAAAGCAATCAAATAAGCTAATGCACACTGAAAAGTGTGCATATTGATGGACACTTAGTCAATTATCTCCTGGGGGACAGGGAAAGCTGGATTTTAATATGAGACCATAGTGTATAATAAAGGAATCTGAGGCAATGCAACCCAGTAGTAGAGATAAGAATATAAAAAATTACAGTGATAAAGATGTGCAAAATTCTCTTAAAAGCAATTACCCACTTCCCCTCTAAGAAAACCCAGGCCTGGAAACAGGGTAATAATTTGGTTTTGCTCTTCATATGAGGCTTGATACATGGTGGGCATATACTAAATACTTAGGGAATGAAGGACTAAATGAAAGAACAGTGTACATGGGTTCACACATAGAGAAATGAATATTAAGAGACAAAATTTTGCAGTGACTATAAAATACTGAAATATCAGGGAATGATAGCCCTGCATCTAAATGACTTTCAGAAGATAAATAACCCCCTTTTCCCTCTATTTTGTGGAAAAGTTGAAAGAAAAAAAAAAGTCAAAGGTAATATGGATATCCATGAGAGTGGGTAGATGAGAGGGAGAATGAGAGAGAGGTTTTCATCTCTGATCTCATGTTCCTTTTCAGAGAAATTGTTGCTGAAGCCAAGCCTCAAAACACAATGCTAATGCTCCAGTCAATTGAAAACCTAGGGCCACTCACAAGCAGCTGCCCCTACAGAAGTGACAATGGGGAAGAGGACCAGGGATACCCATCACTCACCTCTCTCTCTGTACTCCTCAGGCTCCATCATCTTCCTCAGGCTCAGGCTCCTTCTCACAGGGGAAAACACAGGAGATGGACAGCAACGTGAAGGAGGGAAGCAGCCCAGCTTCCTGCTTGCTGGTCCCGCACACTCCCTGGCAGCCAGAGTAGGAGCCTTATTTAAAGGGTTCTCCTTTCTTCCTCTTTAGCTCCGCCCCCCAAAGTCCTTTCCTCTAGGCTTAATTAATTTCACCCCTTCTTTTCGATAAAAGGCACTTCTCAATTAAACAGGGCACTTAACAACCCAAGCCTGCAGACAGCATCCAGGTAGATGTGGAAAAAGAGCCCTCAGTTCCTTCTGGCCCTGGATTCAGACAATAGAGCCCAGCCTCAGGCAAAGCTCCCAGCTGAGTAGCCCAGAACAAGGCCAAGGGTATGCAGAATAAGTAGCATGAATGACAAGCATCATTCCTGCCCCTGCGTCCTTATCAGCAGCAGGGAGGGAGCAACAAGCCCTCATGGGGAAGCTACCCGACTGGCCACGCTGTGCTCAGGAACAGGATTTTTTTTTTTTTTTAACTATACAATGCTTATTATAGACAGAAGAGAAAAAAACAGAGATGCGCGCGCGCGCACACACACACACACACACACACACACACAAAATAATAACAGAAATTAAAACATGCCCCAGAATCGGTCACTTTCAGCATTTAAAGAATTGAGGGGAATGTGTAAAGGGGCGTGCAAGGAGGGGAGACCCCACTCTTGCAGATTGGTTTCTGAGTGAAAATTAATCAAACTCTTTCAAATTGACTAATACAACAGACTCTGTTTGTTCCCAGTCATCTTTTTCGTCCTCTTGGGGGCACTTTATTAATACTGCTTTTATGTCCTAGAAGTGCACGATTTCTTCAGGTTTCCCAAAAGGCCTCTTATAATCTTGCTTCTCCCTCTCTGTTGGTCTCCTCTATTCAGCCATTAAATTTGGCATGTTTCAGGCTGTTGAGGCATCCATTCCTAGTGGCCTTACCCATTTTTGTAGCTTTAGATGTGACCGATACAATACACACAAAGGGAAAAACCCCATGTTAAATTTATACCATCAGGCCCTTCCTGACTTGAGCTCCAATATCTTACCCACAACTGCTTTGGTTCTCAGGCACCTCTAAGTTAACATGTCGCAAAACTATTATTAGTCTTTACCCCAAACTTGCCTCCCTCCTTCAAATCTTCCCCATTTCAATTCATCCATCTTCCCATCCATACATCCAAATATTTAAGGGCATAAACCTGGATTCTTCCTTCCCTTCACTAGCCCCCATGCTTGCCTAATCCAATCTGTTCAGATCCAGTTCTTACAAAATAAATCTCTTGTCTTTCAAGTTCTCCCTACCTCCATGGCTACAACCCTCCTCTTGTGGTCCAGTAAACATTGGCATTCTCTTTAGACTAATGCAGGAAATATATAATGGCCTTCCCACATTCCTGGCCTCCTGTAGTCTGTTCTCTACATAATACAGTGATCTTTACAAAACTCACATATGATTATGACATCCCCTGCTTTTAAAATCTTAAAAAGCTAAGGAAATTCATTTAGGTAATGTGGTACAAAATGGAGGTTTATTCATGCAATAATAATTAGTTGGAATATAACATCTTTAAAAGATCTAAATACAACAGTAAGAGGGGGAAAATCTATGAAAAAATAAGAAATGTGCATTGCCTACATAAAGAAAAGGATGTTCAACATCACTAACCATTAGGGATATGCAAATTCAGACCATAATGAGATTACTATGACTCATTTGTTAGAATAAGTAAAATTAAAATGATGATAAAAGATATGGAGAAACTGGCTCTCTCCTACGTTGTTGGTAAGAATGTAGAGTGGTATAGCCAATCTGGAAAGCTGTCAGTTTCTTAGACTAAACATTTATACAAATTTATTCAAATATTATACAAATCATCAATTATATTAGGATTATCTAGAGGAACAGAACCAATATAAAACACAAATATATAAGCATTTATATATGTGTCAATATATAAGAGGGCATTTATTAAATTGGCTTATATGATCAGAAACTGGATAATCCCATAATGGCTATCTATAGTCTGGAGAGCCAGAAAAGCCAGTAGCTGCTCAGCCCAAGAAGCTAGAGCCTCAGAACAAGAGGGATCATTGGTGTAACCCCAGTCCCAGGTTGAAGACCAGGAAGCTCTGTCAAGAGTTGCTGCTGTGAGTCCATATTGAAAAATTGAGCATGCTGGAATCTGATGTCCACAGGCAATGGCAACAGCAACAAATAATCTTCTCAAGAAGAGTCGAGCTTCCTCCTTCTTCAGCTGTTGTCCCATCTGGGCCCCCCAGCCTACTGGACAGTGCTGCCCACACTCAGAGCAGGTCACTTGTTCATCATCTCTGAAAATACCTTCACAGACACACACAGAAGTGTGCTTTACTAATTTAGGAGTATCTCAAACCAATCAGATTGATAACCAAGATTAACCATCACAACATTGTTGGGCGTGTATCCCAACAATGTTCATGCAAAAACCTCTACATAAATGTTCACAGCATCCATATTTGTCAAACTCCAATTTGGAAATAACCCACGTTTTAATGGGTGAAGATTAAACTTGGGTACATCATTTTATAGAACAATAGCCAGAAATAAAAATGAAAAAAATTATTGTGATGTACAATAACCCAGATGGATCTCAAGGTATTTTCTGAGTGAAAAAAAAATCTCAAATATTCCATTTATGTAACTTCTCAAAATATTGTTATTATAGCATAATTACAAAAACACAGAATGAATTTAGTGCTTGCTAATTTAAGAGAATTAAAGATGGAGTCGTGGGATGGGTGGAAGCTATACTTTATGTTATAGCATGAGGGAATTTTTCTGGTGATAGAACAGTTGGGTATCTCAATTGTGATGGTATGGAACAAAATTGCTTAGAATTATACAGGAGTACTCAAGTGTGTCTAGTTCGAGCTCCTATAACAAAATACCATAGATTGAGTGGCTTTAAACAACATTTATTTCTCACATTTTTGGAGGCTGGAAAGTTCAAGATCAAAATGCTTGCTATAGCCTCACATGATAGAGTAGTGGCAGGGCTGGAGAGGTTGGATGGAGAGTGTGAGTATTGTGGTCTCTTCCTCTATTTATAAGACTAATAATCCCATCATAGAGACTCTAACCTCATGAATTCATCTAATCCTATTACCTCCAGAAGGCCCTAGCTCCTAGTACCGTCACACTGGAGGACAGGTTTCCAACATATGAATTTGGGGAGGAAAAAAGTATTCAGTCCATAAAGCAGCCCACTTTAAAAATTGTAAAATCTGAATTAGGCCTAATTAACAGTACTATACCAATGTCAGCTTCTTGGTTTTGAAATTGCACTACAATCATGTAAGATGTTTTCTTTGGGAGAATGTGATATAATATGCAATACATTGTATTTTGTCCCAAGAACCTGTTATTAGGGAGCAAAAATGGCTCCTGTCACCCCTTCTAGGTTATTTGACTGACCTACAAATTACATTAAGACAGTTTGACAGGAGAAACACATATTTAATCCCATGAACATAGATATCTCACACACACACAGAGAGACTCAGAGAGAGAGAGAGAGTCTCAAATAAAGGGTCAATCCATTAAAGTTTATATAGCATTCTAAGCTACAGAAGAGAATAGGGCCTTGATTGGTGTGGGGTGGCCACACAATTTATGAGAGGTGAGAGAAAGAATTGCATGGTGATAAGACACTGGGTTTAATCCTCAGCACCACATAAAAATAAAATAAAGATATTGTATCCAAATAAAACTAAAAACTAACTAAATAAATAAATAGCTGCTTAAAAAGAATTTAAAAATAATTGTCTGGAATAGCTCTCTCCCTAATACATTTAATAATATAGAATTCCTTTATAGATGTACATTTATTTTATGTAAGGACAGCTTTAGGGTTAGGGATGTTGCTCAGTGGTAGAATGCTTTATCTAATCCATGCAAGGCCCTGGAATCCATCTCCAGCACTGCAAAAGTCAAACATTAAATAAAAGGACAGCTTTTCAGAGCTACTAGTGTGTCTGCAGTTTCTCAGAACAGCCAGCTCAAAATACGCCAAAGACGTATAGCTTTGACATGGAGCATTGTGGTCTCCCACAGTTACATTTTAGGGTAGTATGTCCTGACATTGTCACAGAACACCTAAAATCCTTGGAGTTTCCTGAGTGACAGGAGTATTCTTTGTTATTTGTAATGAGCCCCTTTGGATAGACCTTAGTTTATCCTAATGAGGCAACTTAGAGTACAGCCCATACAATCTCAGAATGGGGCTGGTCACTCAAAAGAACAAGTGATCAGAGAGTTGAAACTTTCAGCTGTACCTTCTGACCTTTGGGTGAACTGGCAGGCTGGGGATCAATCTCTATAAAAACTCTTGAACAACAAGGTTCAATGAGCTTTGGGTTTCTGAACACATGGAGGTGTTGGGAATATGGAGATCCCAGAGAAGGGAAATTGTCTCTCTTCATCTGTCTGTTAAACTGTATCTTCATTATATCCTTTATAGTAAGACAGTAAACATGTTTCTCTGAGTTCTGTAAGCTTTCCTAGCAATTACTGGAACCCAAAAGTCGGGGGTGGGGGCATAGTCTGAAGTACAGGTGACAACCTACTGCTTGAAATTGGTGTCTGATGTGGAGGCAGCTTTGTGGGACTGAGCCCTCAACCTGTGGGATCTGATTCTGTCTCCAGGTAGATAGCATATGAACAGAACTGAATTATAGGTTACCAAGTCAGTGTCCACTGGAGATTGCTTGTTGTGTAGGGAAAAATCCACACACATCTGGTCACAGAAGCATTCTGTGTTGAGTGTGTGAGAGAAACAACAATTTGTTTTCTCCTTTACAGAGTTTGATTCTGCATACTATACTATTTGTGAATTTATAATTATTTCTAAGAAAAAAAAAACGTTTCTTATATTGCTACTGAAAACTACCACCTCATATACACTAGAATGACTATAATAAAAAAAGAAAAATTACGTATGTCAGTGAGGATGTGTTGAAGTTGAAACTCTCCTAGATTACTGATGAGGATGTAAAATGGTGCAGCCATTTGAGAAA